TTGTCATCGTATGCAACTTGGGGTACAACATACATAAACGCGTGCGCGTCTCCAATCGACTGTCAACCCATGACATTGCGTATAATGTGTTCCACCTAGTTAGCAGGCACTCCCTCTCACCCCCATGACGTATCTCCCTTGACTAATTATTATTGGAAGTCAGCTCAATATCGCTGCCAAATTATAATATACAGATGCAGAAATAAGTTAACTGTCAAGATTGTAAAGTAAAACTACTTGCAAAGGTCCTTGTGAAGACGAGGGCCCCAAATATACCCCAAGTTTCAAATAAAGTAGTTATTTGGTTAAGAACGTCATTCTTATGGAGTTAGGATGTCATTAATGCATTTATCTCTATAGTCCATAATGTTCGTCTAATGTGACGTATGTTTAATACTAAATGAAAATACTCTGCGATGTATAAACAGTTTTCTTCTTAAAAATTTGATTTGAAATTAAACAATCGTTTGGCTGTCCCTTTTTTGTAATGTTAATGAAAAGGGCACAACGCGACAAATTAGAACAAAATATAGTTTAAATTTATATTTTTTTTTGTGATCATGTGTGTTGAATAGCGGCAACCAGCCGGTTACACCATGCACTGGCTGCATCAATAAGTTTGTAGTATCCTGTAATACTACAACACTCGATCCAAAGGTAATGCCATTTCACTATTGTCACGAGTTGATTCGATCACGGCGTGAAATTGGCGTGTCAGTATTTATATTATTATAAACAGATGCACCGCACCTCTATATATAATCCCTCTCGGTGATATTATGTAATTATAATGAGGTATGTCAAACAAAGTGTTGTTATGTTGCCATACATGTGTTATTACCATTAGGTACCTATCTAAAGTTTGGTGTACAATAAAGAATTTTTGTATTGTATTGTATTGTATTGTAAGGTATGGGATTAGTCGAAAAGTCCGATTTTAAAGTAGAAATGAAAAACATTTAAGTAATAAAATTAATATCCAACTTAATCAATATGTATTGGCCATATTGATCAACAAACTTTTGGCATCATTCGGGTAATTTTTTGGATTCCTTTTTCATAAAAATTCCTATCTTTACTTATAAAATAGAGTTCTATGGTCAATTCGTTATTAAACTCGTGTACAATCAAAGAATTTTGTAAAGAGCGAAACAAGTGAAGATTTGAAGGAACTATGTCCAGTGAATACGGCGGACAAGGTAACAAACACATCCCAAACTAAATGCAATTGTTTTTGACGACGTTGGGTGTGGTTTGGCATTATCATGATACTTCCACTTTACGTTTCACCAATTCTGGGGCTTTTTCCTAAATTGTAGAGAGACTTTTTTTTTTCATATTTGAAATTGTGGGCGTGTCCCGGACCCGTCCGGGACCGCGTCGATTCTAACGATAACACACTGAGCGCGGTCTTTGTTTTGTCATCCATATAAATACACAGAATTAAACCCGATGCTGTCCCGACCCGACTCGCACCCGCTCTCTGTTTGTTTCACGCTTGAAACGTTCCCTTCCTATTCTTAAACTGCGTGCGTGAAAATATTATTTTTTAAATGACCATTATAATATAACATTTTAAAAGAAAAACCTTTTTTGTTAAATCCTCCTAAAGTTGTTAATGGTTAAAAAAAGCAAAAGCAAAAAAAAAAAAGGTTGTATTTATTGTACCCTTAGCGTTTATTCTCCATTTCTTGCTGATATAAATTTTGTGGTTAGAAGTCTGAGTCCTTGATTACATTCCACGCACTCGGACCGGACGCTTGACGTAAGTGTTCTCAATTGCATAAATTACGCTGTTGGGAAAGTGGAGGTCAGGGCGGTGCAAAATGTTTAGTGCAAGAACTGGTTGTTACGATGGTGTGCTATTTCATGGTTCTTTCAATACTTCTACGCCATTGGAGTCTTTTTCGTAGGACTATCTTCACTCGTGTTTTCCAGTTATTTGTTTTCATTAAACAGTTCGTAATTTCGTTTGTGCTTTTGTTGTTTCCATTGCCTGAATGCTTGTAGTATTAGAAAAGTACATTGTGTATAGTGTGTAAGTACATTTCGTAGCTGTAAATAAGAAATTACTAACGAGAGTCCATTATATGACCCTTAAGTTTACTAGATGAATTAGATAACTCGAGTTTGGAATTATTACCGCCCGCGCTACATATAACGTTTTTCATCACATGTGCGAGGAAATAAGTATAATGATAATTTATTTCTTGTATGAATGAATATCGCTTCACAACACAACAATTATTACAGATTTTGCAAATGGCAGGTTTTTTGGTTTTTTTTATGTAAACAGAGGGCCAGCTATTCATAAATAGATAACACAACTCGAATTAAAATGTTGTAAAAGGCAAAATCGCGTACAGCCATGATGGTAAAGATATAAAAGAAATAATTTCAAAATACTATGAACGCTGTAGAATTTGAATTTTGTAAAATCGTACATATATATATATATATATATATATATATATATATATATATATATGTATACTTTAAGTTTATATGAAATAATTCAGATTTTTCGAGCATTGCAATGCTTAATCTTAACGTCTAAGAGAAGTACAGTGCAATTAAACTTAAAAATCCTAAAAATTAAAAAGCCCTAATGCGGTAATGTGATGAAAAATCCCGCGGGCGTAATTCAGCACATTACAGCCGACTTTTCCTGCAAGTTATAACACTGTTTACGAGCAAGTGTGATGAAAATATCTTTAATGCATATTTTTGTTAACGTATACTGTAAACGCGTTCGTATATCAGTGTTGCAGCGGGCACAATCTTCGATCTGAATTTGTTTTTAACGTGACATCGTGATTAGTGCCAAGGGGTATTTCGTAGTATATCAGTAAAATTCGGCCTTATGGTTTACATAATAAAGTGTTGTTGCCACAAATTCTGTATAGTATAGGCACTCATGGCTGACACAAAAAGATTTATTGCCAATGTAAACAACGTCTTTTTCTCAATACTATATTTAATAATTTAATATATTAAAGACTACCGTTGAAACAAATTTACAAACATGGAACGTTTAAAAAAATTTAAATGAGAAAATTCAGAATGAACCAATAACATTTTGATGTGGATAATGGTATTATTAACTAGTTTTATAACTTTTTACTTACTATCAGATCTTTTATTAAATTATGCAATTATTACTTAGCAAAACTAATCACACCTCTCTATTGCTTCTCTAAGCAGTATGTGGGATTATGAAATATCAACTTATATCTCAGGGTGACAAGCGCACTGGCAGTGTCCTTCATATCTTTGCGATTTAAACCTCTGAGTGGCATTACAACAGCTATTGGCAGGTGTGTCGCGTGACTTGGCGTTATAGAAAAAGATGTCGCAAAAAAACCTAAAGCGTATTTTATTTGTACGTGGAATTTTCACTTTAGCATTATCCATTACACAAGTGATCGAATAAAAGATAAAATAATTCCAAATTGAGTATGATATAATTTGTACCTACCAATTAAGGGTCTTAATATTATTTCCATTTGCTGTTGACTAAAATTTTTATTTATAAAATATGTAAGTACGAATAATTCTAAATTTAGAAGAAATTTTTTATTTCTTATTTTAAATTGTTGCAGATTTTCAGTAGTACTTATTAACACGTAATTATTAGCTTTATTATTGGATTAATGAAAGTAATTCAACTGACATAACATAAGTTTTGTATGAGGTATTTGATTTTTGGATTTGGATTAACGAAAAAAATCAGCAGGTTATTAATCTTAACCCCACAAAATTGAATTATTATTACAAGTAGGTGGCATATTGTCGCTAGGGTGTGCGGCATGCTGTATTGTTATGCACCCATTATGCACCCTACAAAGGAAATTGCACCCTGTGCAATATTATACCGTCCCGTCATTGCATTCCAAGGCACACGTGTTTTTAATATGACATTCTGCCATAAGTCGAACTACTTTTAAGTTCAACTAGATTTACTGGATACAATAATATTTATGATACTAAGAAGAAAAAAAATATTCTGTATGAACTATACATGTGGTATGAGTCTATATACTACTTCAAGGCATTCTACAAATAGAAAACATTAAAAATTCACCGAAATTAAAACTGATCATAAAATCCTCAGATTATATAAACCAACTGTTTTGTAATCTGAGATAAAAACCGGTCACATAAACAGCTTCCACGCGCTTGGCACACGTAAAATTGTATATTTAAATGACATACTTTGTTTGCTCATAGGTATATAAAATAATAAAAAACCAAATGAAAGAGATAGAGACGACAATGCCCGCCGGGAGCAAATTCAATATTGCCGGTTGCGAAATTAATCCTTCCTCTGTAATCAGATCCCCGGCACGTCTACCTCAATAAACGAAAAGTCTCTCTCGAATTTGACGATAGATGACAAAATCTTAAGAACAATCTGACGATTAAAAACTAGTACACGCCCACCTGACGCTCGGGTGAGTTATGGGTCTAGAGTTGGGGTGGATGGAGAGAGGGGAGGGTGGTCGTATTTCACAATTAAATTTTTCTGGCGCGATCTCGCTGAGTGTGTACGCCGAGCTACGCCGCACGCCCTGTGGGGTGATGGGAACAGGTTTGCAAACTTTTTTGCTAGGCAATAAATTCACAAAAATAAATATATCAGAATTGTATGTGAGGGCCCATAACACTTGCCTAACCCTCGAGGAAAGTAAGCTGCCAATTCAGTGATAGATTTAATGAAAAATACGATTCAAGGTCGAAGGATATTCCTATAAGTGTTTTAAAGGAATTAGCCACCAGCCATTATTCACCAGCTCGTTTTAAGAGCGTTCGCGATCCTATCTATCGTTTCTCGTTCCTCTCTAATAATAACGGCCGTTCCCAATATTCTATCTATCGCCCATTTAAGCATACTAAAGATAGAAAAATCTATCTATCTCTGGTTTTAATGTCTCAATAACCTATCGGGGAATAAGGAGTCTTACCCACCCACGCTATTTATATCCACACACTTTCATAGATGACTAAGATTCAGTGTATGTTATAGGAGCTGTATCGGGCCTCAATGGTATTCTAGTCAATTATATGGAATATGGAGCCAATGTGAGCTTCATTATTATAAATTTCGTTCTCTGAGTTACTTACTTTTATTTTAGATTTGCCAATATTTATTTATAAATGCCTACAAAGTTTGAGAACCTTAAGCTTCTAGTTTAATATCGGAGCGGCGGCGACACGGCGGCGTCACGTGCGCTGCAAAGATACACGAACACAGGCGCGAACCTCACACAAAGACAAACGCCAAAGCGTCGTCGTTGGTGTGACCCACCCGGATTGTGCGAGATATCCTCGACCTGTCATAATACGCCAGATACTTTGATTTCAGACGCGCTGTTGGGACAGTATTCTCTTCAATTGATAGACTAAAAACGAACTGTAAAGCTACTTTTGGACCTTAAAAGAGTCACGTGAGCTTTTTTAATGTTCTCCTTTGTTAATTTTTTAAATTAAATATACGTAATAAATATTAACATAATCATTACGTAACTAGAATAATCTAGAAATCTAAAATTTTCATCACGTAAAGCCTTTCCCAAACCTAATTTATTATGGTGTCGACCGCGTCTTCGCCTATGCGTACGGGTAGGGGATCTGTAGCGTTGCAGACCATGTACTCAGTCTTCGCCACATTTAGTCTCAGACTGCCGTTCACAAGCGACTCCTTCCACACATTCACTCGTCGTACCAGTCTCCCTCTATCCGCATCCGCCAGCGCGATATCGTCAGCGTACATAAGCATCCACGGGGGTTGCTCATGCGTGTCTCGAATGGAGCTTGAGACCTCGTCTAATATCACGCTGAACAGATAGGGACTGAGAACTGAGCCCTGGTGAACTCCGACTGTGACAGGGAAGGGTTTAGTGTCACCAACAGCAGTCCCAACCATGGAATCGGAATCGCGGTACATGTCTCGGATGATGTCAATATAAGTTTCTGGTACCCCTTTAGATCTCAGTGCCCACCAGATCATTACACGGGGGATACAGTCGAAGGCCTTCTGCATGTCAAGAAACATGAAATGCAGAAGCGTATTCTTCAATCTGTATTTCTCCATGATGACCCTTAGGGCAAAAACAGGATCCATGGTCCCAAGACCAGGCCGAGACCCATATTGACCCTCCGAGACAGCACTCTCCTGTCGGATCCGAGAGTCTATTATACGCTCGAAGAGCTTCATGGTGTGGGACATGACCTTTATGCCCCGATAAACGCCACACTCCTGCACCGATCCCTTCCCTTTGAAGACTGGAGTGATAATACTCAGTCTCCATTGGTTAGGGATTTTACCGGTGAGGAGCACGCGATTAAAGAGGCCGGTAAGGATGCCCACACCACGGGGACCTATTGCCTTCCAGGCCTCGATGGGAACCCCATCGGCTCTGACAGCTTTCCTATTCTTCATGCGACGAAGAGCTAGTGGACTTCCTCAGGCGTTACCGGTCGCACTAGTCCCTGATTCGGAGGGAGGACCGGTGGCTGCACCTCTCTGTGCTGCTGATTCAGCAGCTCGTGAAAATATGAGCGCCATCTCTCATTCACCGCGTCGACCTCGTATATAAGGTTGCCATGAGGGTCTTAATGCAGCGACACTTGTACATGATGACACGGCACGTTTGGCATCCCTATATGCGTCGCGGTCTTCAGAAGATCCGGACGGTTGTCACGTTTTGAAGAGGGCTTTCTTCACCCTCACCTCCCTCTGGACTGTGTCGTTCCACCACCAAGTTTCTTTGTCACATTTGAGACCACACTCGGACAAGCCCAGCACCGCTTTCGCCGCCTCAGATATGGCAGCCTGAATGTTGTCCCAGTGGTTCTGGACTAGATCACCTTCAGTGTCGGCGCATTTATCGCCGATCGCTGAGATGCACTCCTGAGACGTGGTACTATCAAGCCGCCACCATCTGATTTGGCGTCGGCAGCGCTCAGCGGGCTTGTCGGCCAGCTTTACAACGCGTTCAATATCTCAAGACCAATTAATTTGATAAGTATCTACTTATGTAATTTAAGTATTTCCGTCTAACGAATGATTTATAAATAAAATGTTCAGTAGAGCGCGCTTCATATAAGACAGGTGCTATTTTATTTTGGATAGGAGCTAATCATTTGATTAGCTTGAGCGTTTGAGTTTTCAAAGAAAATGTTCATTCAAGTCAATTCAGTTATATTATCTAATTTTCAAATAAATAGACCCCAAACTCGTTTATGCCAAGCTTTCAAGACAAGATATCGTTTCCAATAAACTTTGAAACGTCATGATCCAGGGAAAAATAACGAACCCCTTATATTAAACATTTTACAAATTCACTGAATTATTCGAAAGAAATATTATATATTTTTATATATTATATTCTATATTTTACTACTCTGAAATATTACTCGAGGAAATGATTTCAAACGTGTGCTGTCTCACGCACATACCCGCACCCGCGTCGTTATCGACAGAGACAGCAATATTATGAAATACCATAGATATAGAATGTGAAATACCTAACCCAGCTTAGCTGGGTAAAACTTTCCTCATATGACCTAATTACATCTCCGCTGAGTATTCTCTACCTAGATATAACTAAAAATGTTTGTGCCAACACGAGGAAAACTATTCTTGACTTTATAAATACTTCGTTAATGTTTAAAATTTTTCAATTCCAACTTTATTTGAGGACGTCTTACGTTGCAAAATCCCGTGTTAACTGTAACTTACACAATCCAATAGCCCCAGAGACCTCTATAGAGAGCAGCTTCCCGCAATTTTCTGAAACATTTTCTTTGTAAGCAAGTACCGAGACTGTATTTATTATTAGAGAATAACCGGAATAAATGAAAAAAAAAATCAAGGTTATAATTTATTAAGTTTATTGATTTTTTTTATAATATTAAGTGACGGGACGAACAAGTGCGCCTGATGGTAAGCTACACGTCTTTCTATAAATTTAAATCGCAAAAATCGAAATCGAAAATCACTTAGTGCCATTGCGCCCGTTACCCTGAGATATAAGTTGACAAGTCCCATGTGCCTGTAATTTCACCTGCTCCCCTACCCTTCAAAACCGGAACACAGTAATGCTGACATTACTGCTTGGCGGCGGAGACTGCTAAGGTGGCAGTACTTCCCTGGGCGAGCTCTTTCACAAGGAGTTCTACTGCTACTAAAAATGTCACGATATTTTACTACCATGATTTTCAATTTTTTATTATGATATTACCTCACTACTTTCTTGTAATTATTAATACAAAGATTGAACACTAAGAAAAATTCCTCAGACCCGGCTGTATTCGAACCAGCGCAGCGCCATGAAGCATACCGTGCCAAACGCTCTCCCAACTGAGCTACGGAAGGAACCACGAGATCTTACGAATTTTTCTAAGTGCTTGTTGCTTGGTGCTTGTTGTTTTTTCTAAATCTTTGTTTTTGGTTTGTCGTAGCGTCATCTGTGAAAAATTTATTTCTTCACTGAGCCAGGTACCGTTGCAGCTACCAGCGGCTGACTAGAGATGCCGATTTATTTATAACTGTCAAATGATTTTCATTATCTAGTGGTACTTAATATACCTGACTGGCTGGCCTGGATTTGTATTGGATACTCAAGTATTGTTGAAAACTAACTACTTATTACTGTATTTACTTATTTAATTTAGTAAATAAGTGCAAGCTGATGCCTACCTACAAAAAATGGACCCAATACCTATATTCCGAAAGTGTTAACGCTGCTCTCACAAAAAATAAGTATTACGTACAGCTCATCCCCGAACATTAAGAGTGATCAGTCTCGGCTGGCGATAGCACCTGTTACGAGCCCCCCGAGAATAACCCCCTTATTGGATTACGACTATAAATTACCGCCTAGCGCGCACTAACAAAAATATGCCCTAGCTGATTGACTTACGATCCAAATAATGTTTTGTTGTTTGGATTTAAATTCCCGTAATAAGATTTTGAATGTGTACAAAGTTAAGCAAATTGTAAGTATGATACATGTGTAATTAATTATTTTTTAGAATCCCCTTTTTTGTTGATAAGTGGGTTCATTTATTTATTTATTTATTTATTCATTTATTGCATCACAATTGATAT